GATCCTATTTTTGTTCCTGCCCAGCACAAAGCAACAGCTGGTGCGGAGGCCGTGGCGGCCCTCCCGCCCCGTCACCTCGGTCAGGGGCAAAGCTCCGCTCGCCACCCCAGTCCGTGGACACCCCAAAACCTACTGCATCGAGCCTGGAACCTGCATCACCTTCTGAGCAACCGCTCCGTTTCTGTGAGGACGTCATTTACTGAGCGCTCTCTGCTCCTCTGTCTCCGCAGAGCTCGGCCTGGCTGGTTTCGGGGGCGGCTCGGGGGTGTCGTCTGTCCTTCATCTTCTCCCGTGACTTCTGTTCCGTACAGTCCTGAGAAAGGCTTTGAGACACTTCAAGATGTCCTGTTAAACTTACCCCTCTTTCTGAAATTTAACCTACTGACCTATGACATTGATCGTGCTACACCTTCTCATTCTGATCTTACGCGGGGCCAGCTGGTGTTTAACCCAGCCATGGCAAGGCCTACACAGGGCACAGCTGAGAGCAGCAGTCCAGCACCCTGTGGTTTCCTAACACACCTGTATTCGCACGGTTGAGGCCATGTTCTAGTTCTATGATTTTACTCTCCTCTATAGTCATAATCAATCTTCTCTGTAATCACTCTCTCGCACCCTGCCTGCTGCACTCCCTTCCCAACACCGACACCGGCCGTCAGGGCAGGCGCACCCTTGGCCTCTGCTTCCAGAGGGACACGGGCTCTGCCAAGGGCTGTGCGGGAATGCAGGCCCCAGCCTCAGGCTGGGAACCGGGAAACGCTCTCCCTCGGCAAGGGAGCTCACCTCACAGACGCCATTCCAGGGTTCTGGATTTCCACCAGCCCCTCTCCCACCAGGCCGGACCTTCAGGCACGCAGGGGACGAGACCCGGCTGAGCAGCGCTGCCTGGCCGCGGCCAACAGATGGGTCTGGCTGGGTATTTCCACTGCCCGGCGCACCCCCTCCCCGACAGCCACACCAGACTCCGGGGGCAGCGTCAGCACACGTGAGATTCCTCCTGTGAAGAAAGCGAAAGGGTTTCCTTTTGGTCTCCAGCCTGGCCGGGGCCACGCTCTCTACTCGACTTCTACAGGGCCTGTACCGGGGGGCTGCTGCCACGGGGAATGGCCCTTGTTCCTCTGTGTGCCCAGAGCCTCCTCCCACTACGTCAGATTCTGCTCCCACCTGTCTGGAAGCAGGCATCCTGTGCTGGTCAGGGAGTGAAAATCCGCACGCGTCTGGCAGTGGCCGACCCGTGTAACACCTCTTCAGCCTCCTCCGCTCATGTTCCACCTGCGAGTTGGGTGGGAGAAAGGGTCACAGAAATTGGCCACCAGACAAGGAGCAAAGGGGCCTCTGGACATCACGGCAAGGAGATGTCTGCTCAGAGCCTGTTAATTGCACCAGACAACACTGGGGGCAAAAAGCACTTGGAGTAGACTATGGAAGAGAAAGAGCAAAAGGAAACAGTTCCTGACCCAGCAGTGTCAAACGTGTGTGTGTGGGGGGACAACACTGGGGCAAGCAGGGCGGTACCGCAGCGAATGAGCATTTGCGAAGGCAAAGGGGTGCCAGAAGAGAGACAAAATATGAAAGCCTGTGTCCGCAGGGGGATGTGGGAGAGGGAAGGAAACGAGCAGAGGACTCCAAAGTGCTGTCTGTGGAAATGTGCTGTGCTCCAGGGGACCGCAGGGCTGTGCGGAGGCAGCGAAGGCCTGGTTCACCTGCTCAGGAGTCCTCCGGAGCCCAGCATTGAGTTGCTTCAGCTCCATCTTCTCATCTTCCAGCCTTGCAACTGCTTGCTGCAGACGTTCCAGCCGCTGCAACAGGAGCCCCTTCTCCGAGAGCCACAACAGCTACTCCCCTTCTGCAAGAGCCTGCTGGGTAGACAGAGAGGAGATTATGTGAGCTGGTGCCACGTAAAGGCGAGAAGGGCCAGAGCCAACACATCAGGAAGAGTGACCCGACTTGGGAACAGACAGCGCCAAGTCCCTTCTCCTCCTGGTCCACAGGCCAAAACAACACTCTCCCTTCTAGGGTCCCTCCTCCAGATCACCTTGGAGAAACCCAAACAAATTTGCCTTCGTGCTTTTTGGACTGCGGCACAAGGACAGAATGCCCAACAAAGCCTTTAACCTGCTCTGGCAATGGTAGGAATTCCGTTATTTTTAACACACTGGAGAAGCTGTACCTCACAAACCTACACCTCTGAGAGCATCCTCTAAGCACCGTCAGTGTAGCTGCTGTTCAGCCACCGCTATGCAATTCTGCTAAGTTTAGCACATTGGTTCGGTCAGCTGTGCCCATTCCCTCCCGTGCCAAATCCCAACCACGCCATGTTGGCTAAGCTTGCCTAGGTAGGAGAGAACCAATGACCCACCCCTGCTTTTTGGACTTGATTTCAGCAGCAAGCTCTGTAGTTCTTTCCGTAGTTCTGGGCCTGACAGAAAACATTCCAGCAGGTGGATGGTCTCTGGATGAAGCACACAGACAGGCAAGCCTGCTGGGCCAAGCAGGTCACCTATTTGTGGGAAGATACATTCCCATCTCTTGACGGGAACATCACCAGACTCCTTTATAGACCTTTTTGTTGGCTGACGGTCAGTCACGCTGCCTACCTGACACCGGTCCATGTCCCTCGCTGAAACCATACTCTGCGGGACGGCTGCTTCTTCCCTCCGAGTCCCATGGGCCATTTCACTCTTGGCAAGGGCAAGAGCCAGTACTTGTGCCTTCTCTCTTCATTTGACTTCTCTGCTTTCAGTCTGCCTCAAAACAGCAACCATATGCTCCAGTTCTTTCCCCTTTGCTCTGCGCTCATCTTCCAGTTGTTGGGTTAGCTCCTTCTGCCTTTGCAAGGAACGGTCTCGCTCCTGGAGAACTCTCCTCTTCTCTGCTTCCTCTTCCTCCCAGTTCTGGAGTCTCCGGATTTGTTTCTGTAGGGTCTCATCTCCATCTTTCCATCGCAAAGCTGAGGCTAACCGTTTCAGGAGCTCACTCTGCCTCCTCAGCTCTTGTTCTCTTCCTGTCAGTCTCCTCTAAATACCTGACTCTGTCTCTCTGGTACTCAATCTCTTCATCCTTCTTGGTCAGAGTCTGCTGGACATGCTGGAGATCTTCCCGAAGAGCCCCAATTTCCTCTTCTAGCTCTTTTTGCTCACCTTGAGCTTTGGTCTCTCGTTCCCTCTCATGAAGAGCTTCTTCCAGGAGCTTCTCTTGCTCTCTGGGGTGTCTAACCCCCTCTCCCTTCTCGGCTAGCCTAAGCTGGAGATTCTGCAAGGTCTTCAGTTCTTCTTCTTGCCGCTGGAGTTTTTGCATAAGAGTTTTGTTGTCTTTGTCTCTCTTCCTCACCTCTTCCTCAAGCAGATTCACTTGCTTCTGGCATGATGTTAGGGCTACTCTCATGCTTTCACCACGAAGCTGGAACATGTTCATTTGCTCTGGCTGCTTGAGGAACTCCAAACGGTTCTCCTTCGCTATTTGGCTCGCTTTGTCTGGATCCTGCTCTACTCTCTTGGCCTGCTTGCCTTCCAACTGCTTCTGCTCTCGAAGGTCCTGGACATGCTCTTGCAAAGACGCTATCTCTTGATCTCTAGCTTCTAGAGAAGATTCAGTGTATTCAAGCTTTTGCAGTATAGCTTTACTCTGCATCGCTGCCTCCTCCTTTTGCTGCTGAAGCTTAGAGATAGCCTGCTCCAGAACCCCTATCTTCTTCTCTCTTTCCTTCAGAGTCTGTTTTGTTGCTTGCAGATTTCTTTGCTTGGCTTCATGCTTTTCCTCCTTTTCCTTGCCTGCCTTACAGCGCTTTCTGAGGGATAAAATTTCTTGCTCTTTTTCCTTTAGCGCCACTTTAAGATGTTGTAGAATTTCCTTCTGCTGTTCAGAGTCTTGCTGTTGTTTTTGGAAGGTCTCAATCACTTCCTTCTGAGATTCAATCATGAAGTCCTTTTCTTTCAGTATTGCCATAGAGTATTCCAAGTCTTTCTGTAAAACATTCCGCTGTTCTTCTGTTTTCTCCTCATAGCTCCTTGCCTGTTGCTTTTGGAGGTCTATGAGTCTGTCCTTTTCTTTTAAGGTTTCTAGGGTCTGCTCCAGTTGGTGACGGACAGTCCTCACCTGCATGTGCATGACTTCTTCAGCTTCCTGGATTTGCTTTTGTTGTGACTCAAGCTCTTGATCTTTTTCAGACAAAGAAAGGGTCATCTTTGCTACTTTACCCTGAAGCTCTTGCAGGTCCCCCTCTTGCTCTTCCTTGTGCTGCTGCAAGAGTCTTAACTGCTCCCTTTGAGAACCACACTCTCGCTCTCTGTCCTTAAGAACTGCCCGCAAGTGTTCAAGGCTTGCCTGCAGAGATTTCACCTGTTCTCTCTCCATTTCCAGTTCTCTTTTCAGACGATCAAGATCCGCCCGCAGATTTCTCACCTGTGATGCACCGTGTTGTTCCAGCATTATTATTTTCCCCTCCTGGAATTTGATCTCCTGGTCTCTCTCCTCCAGCACTTTGCTCATCTTGCTGACTGCAGTCCTCTCCATTTCTCGCTGCTGCTCCAGGGCTCGGATCTGTTCTTGCTGGGATCTGATCTCCCGCTCTCTCTCCTCCAGCACTTTGCTCATTTTGCTGACAGCAATCCTTTGTTCTTCTTGCTGCTTCTCCAGCTCCCGGATCTGTTCTTGCTGGGATTCCACCTTCTGTTTTTTCTCTCCTATGTCCTTAATAGCCTGATCGAGAGTAGTTTGACACGTTTCTTTCTGCTTTTCCAGCATTCTCATCTGGTCCTGGTCCAACTTCCTTTGTCCCTCCCACTCCAACAGGACAGCATTCAGACGAGGGACAGTCTCCTGCAGAGTTTTTGCCTGTGCTGCCTCTTTCTGGAGCATCTGGATTTTCTCCCACTGCGTTTCCACTTCCTCATTTTTGATTTTTAAGATAGACACCGTAGTCTGAAGTTCTTGTTCAAGGCAGTGATTCATCTCTGTTGCTGTATTTGCTCGGATTTCAGAGGCTGTGATCGATTCCTGGAGGTTTATCTCCCATACCAGTTTTTCTTTCACTGCTTCCATTCTGTCCTGTTCACGCTGCAAAACAGTGAAAAAGATTCAATCATTCCATCTCAACGGGTTTGCTTTTCGTACTAGATTTGACCTCCTGCTTCAGTGCCGGTCAAGGGCTGCCCCCTCTCTCCCTGCCTCTTGGGATGTTGTGGACATTTCCTGTGCCACCCTTTAGGCTGCATCTTCCCAGCTTCCTCAGCCCGTCCCATCTTCCTTGTTCCCCTTCTCTGAACCTCTTCGAGCTCTAGTGACTTCTTTTGGGGAGCATCCACCAGAACTGCAGCCAGGGTTTAAAGTCCAGACTGAGCACTATTTAGGCAGTGGCGCGATCATGTTCTCTCCATTAGCAAGGAAGGCAGGAGAGAACAACCCCAACATTTGATTTCCTGGTTTGGGGTGGGGTTTTTGGACCTCTACTGTCTACAGCTCACTGTACCATCCTCTAGAGCCCCACTGTCCCCTCTTGAAGGAGTAAGGGTCAGATCACAGTCTGTCATCCTGTCTTCCAAATCAGGACTAGTTTCCCCCATGCAGGCGTACCTATTTATCTAAGTCAGCGCTTTTGTTTCCCAAATTTCTCTATTTTTTCCCCACTGTCTGCGCTCAGATGGGCAATGTTGAACAGCTTTCTACTATCAGCAGACTTTTTCTTCTCAGCCCTTTTTCCACATCCAGACCTTACCTGCCCATGCTCTTGCTGCTCTGCCACCTCCCGTCTGAGCTGCTCTAGCTGCTGGCAGGCTTCTGTGAGCTCTCCCCGAGTCTGCAGTAGTGTCTCTAATAAAGCATTATTCTCACGCTCCTTTTCTAGCAGGACCTGCACAGGAATAAAGAGAAGACGTATTTAGACTTCCCATACAACCAATCTTACTGTGTGGTAAGACTCAAGGACTGACGGGCTCACACGTTCTCCAAGCACTACGCTGCTGCTGCTCTCCTAGGGCAGGATCTGCCCACCTGGAGGCACAGACTCCTAAGTGAGACTGGCAGTACAAACATGGTCCACCCATGAGTGAACCTTCAACAAACTCCTAGTCATCTGTTTTGGTTTCGGCTGCCGCCGGAAACAAAAGCACCACGCGGCCGTCCCTCCCCCCGCCGGCGTGCGGAGGAGAATGAAAAGAACGGCAGAAACGGGTGGGGCGGGGTAAGGGCCGTTTAACATAAACGGAA